AAATATCATTTTAAGAGCTTTCATAAGATTTTAAGAGCTCTCATGAGATTACCACAAGAATAAAGAATATTTCAATGATCGGGGCAGACGGTTTTGATATACAACGGTCATGTTACAGTTCAGCATTAATGACCTGGTCTGGTCCGTCGCTTCCAACCAAGGCGTTTTTTCCCGTCTGTATGTGAATTAACGCTTCTGTATGTAGGTTGAAGTTGAGGACTGTTCTGTGACATTGCTAACTTGACTCGGTTATGGAAACGCGTGGAGGACAAACAGTTAAATTACTGTCGGTCTTTCGTAAATTAGGGTTTGGTCATGATTAATGAGTATATAGCCAGGTCACAGAAAATCATTGCGCTGGCCTTTTTGTTAGCATGTTTGTTTTTGTAGTTCAGTTAAGGCGATTACTTGTTGTCCAAAGTGGCCCTGAGGCCGACCCAACGTAAGAATGAAAAAGTTTTGTTTATCATCTACAGTTTCCGCATTGTTTATGAGACATTCACGAAATTAAAGGGTAATTAAATGATTAGAGCAGACGATTTTGATACGCAAAAGACATGTTTCAGTTTAGTATAAATGAATTAGTTTGGCCCGTCAGAGGCAACAAAGGCGTTGATACTGTTCGTTTATTGATTAACGCAGCTATATGCAGGGTGCGAAGTGTACAGGGAGGAGTGTATAGTGAGGACTGTGCTGTGGCATTTAACTGCTTGCTTTGACTCGGGTACAAACGCATGGAGGGCGAAACATTAGTACTGTTGTCGGATCTTTCGACATAATCAAGTCAAATTATTATAATTTTTAACAGAACGGTGGCAAAATCCATCCACCAAATATGACTTCATATGACACAGTTCATAAATGAATCAACAGAGAGTAAATTTCCACATAGTCACTTTTTTTTCTGCTAAACTAGGGGCTGCTATAGGAGCAGACCCGAGGACAGAAAGGTAGGTATAGTAAATTTCACTCACAGGATCTTCAAATGTGGATTGCGCTCAAATAGGGTTGGAGGAAGGTCTTTCAGCTTGTTTTTGTTTAATCTCCTATTTAGCCAGAACAGTCAAGAAGATTAGCTGTTAACTTATCGCAAGAAAATCAATGATCTAATGATAAAATCATGACCTTATGCTCCCTGAACTTTTCCGTCCAGTCCGAAGTTCTCTTTTCTCTATGGGTTCAACGTCAATATGAACCAAAAAGATGTCTGTCAGGACCACACCTACTTTTTTTGACCACATCATATCGATCGTGACATATTATGAATAAATGGTATGATATGTTTCTTTTTCCTTACATAACCACGACAACATTTTTTATTAAATCGCAACTGTAATGACGTTGGGAAACGTAATTTAACGTACAATTCTTGAAGATTGCCGAGGTTGGCAAGCAAGTCAGATGGTAGCTCCTCCAAATGGTTGTCACTCAGGTCTCTGTAAAATGCAATGGCATTTTCAACTGACGTGTACGAGGCAAAATACCCGCGATCAACTCTGAGTTTTTTTTTCCTCAGGTGATTAGCGTTTACAAGAAGACTGAAAAATTAATTTCATAGATATAAGAATGGATAAAGAGAAGAATTTCCTCTATTATGGTGATAGACGCTTTTCTCTTAATTAATCCATAAAAATAATCTATTCATCTTTTCATCATTGCTTCTTGGTTTATTTGGCAGCTGGTTGATTAGCTGTTTAACTGTTTTTAAGTATTTTTTACTTGATACATCATGTATTGTGTCTTCTCTTGTTAGTTCGCTTGTTGTTGTCCTTGTTTGTTTGTTGTTTTTTTGTGTGTCTTATTTGAATTTATTTGACTTAGATGAATAACTTTGTAATATACGCACAAGATTGTCGTTGTAGCTGGCAGTTTCCACGGAAATGATTTAAGTTGTTTTCCACTGCATGTAGCCTCCGTTGAATTTGTAGAACCAAACTCGCATTTACAGGGTTGTGGACAATCAATTGAGGTATTTGATGCCAAATAATTGCCTCTTACGGTTTGAACAGCTATTGAGTTAAATTTGCATACGAGATAAGTATTTCCAAAATATGAAACAGAACTACGTACGGATGACTGATGATTACTAAGTATATTTGGCAGAGAGAGCTAAATTATTCCCCAATAATATTTACGAGAAGCAAATGTCATCGCTTACCTAATAAACAAATGAAAACCAACATGGTTTTCTTTGTGAGCACAGACGGGAGAATCACCTAAAAAGCAAAACAGACAATATCAGCGCTTGGGATCGAGGCAAGCAAGCATGCCATAAAAAATCTGTGCGGAACGCATTTTCAGTCTTGTGGTCAGAGGGGAAATAAAATAAGCCGAGCTTGGAACAATTTCAAAAGCTGAATATAGCGCAATCTTGAAAAGCAACAATAGGCGTATACTAAGGGACTAGTCCTTATCTGATGGTTCCTAGAGGAAAAGGATGAGGAATCAGTCGTCCCCAACAGAGTATAAAAAATAGAACTGTAGAAAATTGACAGCCGATTAACGTTTAATGAGGGGGACTCATGCGAATATGAAAATTACTATTAATCACCGGGGGGGTCAAGGGGGAGAGGGGGGGCAGAGCATTTGGGGGGAACATGTAGGGCTCAGCGGAAACGGAGGGGGGATCAGTCGTCGCCAACAGAGTATACAAATAGAATTGTAGAAAATTGACAGCCGATTAACTTTTATTGAGGGGGACTCATGCGAATATGAAAACGAGTATTTATCGCTGGGGGAGCAGAGGATTTGGGGCGATCACGTGGTGCTCAGCGGAAACGGAGAGGGGATCAGTCGTTGCCAACAGAGTATAAAAATAGAGCTGTTGAAAATTGACAGCAAATTAGCTTTTAATGAGGGGGAATCATGCAAATATGAAAATGACTATTTGTCGCCGAGAGGGGGGGGGGGGGGGGGGCGATAATCTGAGGGAATTACGTGGTGGTCACTAGAAACGGAGGTGGGAGGGGGGTCAGTCATCGCCAACAGAGTATAAAGATAGAAATGTAGAAAACTGACAGCCAAGTAACTGCCAATGAACGGGGATCATAAGAACATGACGATGACAGTGAAATTTTTTGCTAAAGTCCGTTGTCAGTCGTGCCCGTTCTGAAACAAGCTCAAAGAAAAGAATTTGAAGCCTTTTGAAGCAGTCTGCGTTGACGTTACACAAAGACCTGTGATTCAAACGCACTATAAAAGTACTTGTGAGCAACAAAAAACTGTCAGGTTTTGTTAAACAACCGTCTTTTGACAACCGGCCGAATGTTAAAGGATGAAGTAATTTGTAGCACGATGCCATAATGATTACATTAGTTTCTGTTGGACATGTTAAAAGCTGATCGCACAGACAACCATTGCCTATTCGATTTCTGTTGAAAATCGTTATTTAGGTGTAATTTTCAAAATAAAAAACAAAAACAAATAAAACAGTAAGTATTATGGAGCATATTAATTTTTTTAAAGCCTAACAACAACATGAAGTCAAAAACATATGGTGTGGTAACAGTTACTACGACTTGATCACTGAAAAAACTATAACTGACTGTAACTATATATTTTTTACCAATTGTTTTGAACTATTAAATGTACTACTTGCAATTCACAAATGGATGGATTCAATTATTTACCTGAACTACCCCATCGAGTCTGTGGTGTCTTGTAAGCCACAATATTGCACCGTTAAAGAGAGAATTGCTAAAATAACCTTATTTGAATACGTTTGCAATAAACTGCACGTGGATTTGCTTGCATAATTACCGATAATTATGCGGTGGACGATACATAATGAATATCCCGGGGAACTGAAATTGTTTTGAAACTTCTAGACTTTTCATGAATTCATCTTTCTTTAAAAAACTGAACTGTTCATTCGACTTCTTGTCTCTACTTATAGCAAATATTTGTGCTTTTTCATCTCTTTTTCGTTCAATATGTTCACTGCCTGTCTAAACATGACGTTATTGTCATTGTTGGTTATTTAAAAACTAGCGATCTTTATCAAGAAAATTCAAATAAAACACGTAGGATGAAATATTTTTAATTCACAAAGAAATTGTGAATGGTAATACGACTGAAGCTGAGGAATACCATTCATTCAGAAATAGATATTAGTAAAGGTTGTATTTCCGAGGAAGTGAAAAGAGCGCGCATGCCCACAAGAAGCTAAAGCTCGGTACGTGGCGTTTCAATACATAAATTTCTCACCAACACAGATTTTTTCTATGCTGCCGCATTTAACAAACCAGATCTCACAGACCGCCCAAAACTAATGTGGAATTTTTTTAAAAAATACATATTTATGTCCTAATGCTTTGCCGTAGGTGAACATTCCATTGCAAATCTAGCACTTTTTAAATTATTTAGGCTAAAAGGTGAATTTCAAATACAGTCCATGTTTCTTTTCATGTTTCGTGTAACAGTTTGGTCATATCATGTAATATCTAAATTTTTCAAACTTCTCAGATTGAGCCTGGGCTGCCTGTGGTGTCAAACTTACCAAATACGTCAACATGTTCAGATCTTTTTAGAAGAATAAGACAACCATCAGCCCTGCATGTTACGATTCATGTACTTTTATTTATGGACGGGGAGCCGTTTATAACCGTTTTCCTTAGGCACTCGGTGAATCATACACGAGGGCCAGGTTACAGCTCTTTATAATAAACTAGCACAAACATATTTCATGCATTAAGTAATAATACGAACTATCACTGGATCAAACAATTCTTACCCTGATTCTGCTAGTTTGATCAAAATGAAAGATCGATTTCTGTCGCCTGGCCGTGGAAGGTCTGTGTACGAGACTAATTCTGCCCTCGCCTCCACCCCCTCCCCCACCTTAGCCATTAAATAACTCCGATATTTTTATTATTTTGAAGATTTAACTGAATACTTTTCGAATGTCATTTATTGCGGAGTAGGTGGACGCCACACCACCAAAAATTCCAACAGCTATGAGTTCATACAAGAAAACCTTGATATGAAGAGGAATATTACGTTCAATTCTCAAATAAAACAAACAGGGAAATACAAAGGTCAATGCAGTTATTGTGGTCCTCCAATAAGAGACAGTTCGCCAAGACAGAGAGTTCGCCAATGCCAAGAATAAAACACATGATGGCGGTGCGAAGGAGGCACCGTTTGACACCAAATCCTGTTGGAAAAGAAGACCGAAAAATAACTTAAGGTAGCGTAAGTGTCTAACATTAAAACGCTGTGTGGATGGGGGGTTTTATGAAAGCAAGACGCCGATAAGGAAAACAGTTTTACACGAAAGAAGCAAGAAAAAAAAAGCGCTCGTATTTCGCCCCAAGCTATCTTGATCACATTCCCTGTAAAATATTAGATTCTATGTTTTTTTTACGGAATAGGTAGACGTACATCGCAACCCTTGCTTCCCGCTGAATTAATGAGATTAACCCTGGGTGTATTTAAACCAACCTTGAGGTATGCTCAAAAAATCCTCAAAAGACTGTGATACTGGGTTTATCACAATAACAAAGCTGAACAGCAGGTGAAGTGTGATCAGTACAAGCACTATGTCTAACATAACAGCAGCCGCGTCATGTCCTTCGTATTTCACGCTTTCGAAAATGTTCGATGTGATGTTCTTGCCGTAAGCCACAAAACCGAGGATTGAGACAGGCATGCTTACGACACCAACCTACGCCCAGAACACAGAAATTGGAAACTTGGAGCATTTTTTCATGTCTGTCTGAATCGTTGGAAAGGTTGAAGGGCCACCAAATGAAAATAATATAGTTCCGAAAGCTAAAAGAAAAGGAGAAATTAGAAGAACTCAGCAGCATTGAGGAATGAATATAAGGTTCACTTTAGATAAAACCTACCATCCTCATTTTTCCTGCGAAATTTTAGCCACGCAGTGGATAGCTCTTACTGACGATTAAAATGTTAACATTTCGCGACACATTCTAGTAAAAAAGTCATGTCATTTTTTTATTACACTGGATAATCTTGTAAGTCGACTTGGCCACACCGAGACCATTGGCAGCCTCTGTTCAGAAATGGATCACAGATGCAGTCAAAACGTGGTAAGAAAAAACAAAAGAGCACATGAAGCGCAGCCGGTTGTGTCACTGATGTTTTTACCTCATTTTGATGTCTTCTGGGATCTATTATTGTACAGACCCACAGCAACGTAGAATCGATTTTCTAATTGTAGAGATGACGAAAGGTTGTTAATAATGACGTCATCTATGCGTTTGTCTTCCAACAGAACATAAGTAATACCAATAAAATGCTTGTATAATTCAGCTTATCGTATAATTTTATATGAGTAGCATATATAATTATATATGATAATAAGTCCACTTAGGAAAACACACCTGAAAAGAAACTCTCGAAGCTTACACTAGGTTGTTCAACAGTATTCAAATCAGACGGCATATCCAATGCGATGCACACGCAGATCATCAAACAAGCCATAGCTGTTGCTACACTAGCACTGACAGCGATCCCTCAGAAGTGCTTGGGCGTTCCCAGCCACGAGTATGGCAGCAGAACAGCAAAACAAATCACGAGCCAAATACGCAATTCGCCGGTTTTCCCAACATCAGCCACGTGCAGATTGACAAGATTTGCCAAGTTTCCCGCCACCAGGATCAAAAACACTACACACACCCCTAGTCATAATATCAAAACAGTAATGTCAGATAAAATCTAAACATCTCATTGTCCAAGCGTGGATGTTTGTTCCAGATGTAAAAATATTAGTTTCGGAGCCTTATCAAAGACATCGAAGTTGACCAATGTTTCTCATGGTATTGATGCGAAGCTATGTTTTGCTGCACGAGAGTTGAAAAAGAGGATTTAACTCATATTTACCTTTTGATTTACTACCCTTTACAAACGTGATGGAACCCAGCAATTTTTCTCTCAGGAGAATGTAAGATAAGTTCCATAAGGCAGCACCACCTCCGTTTGAACCCCTTAAATCTAAAGATGTGACAGGCAATTTTCTTTCTCAGCTGTCACACATTTCTATGCATAAAACTAGTTAAGAGGATTTAGTTTTTCGATCATATTCTCTAACCAATCAGCGAAAGTACTCCTATATTTCAAGGAGATTTTTCATGTCAAGAAAACACTCCTGAAAGTCAGAGGGAACTGTTTTGAGTAAGTGTGGAAGATTTCAGGCACGGCGAGAATAATGATGAAGGAAAGGATGGGGCGAAATATTAGCTATAGACTTAATACAATTAAAAGTACAACTGTTATTTCTTTCCTTTGAGACTTGTAGTGCAGAATGAACCTCTTTCGCCAAAATGCAAACGCCGTATAGGGTTAGGGGGTGGGGAAGTAAAGGGATATTGACCGCGATGATATACCCAACATTTGCCCCACAAGACACTGGTATACCTTAAAATTGTAAGGAGTCACCCGAAAATTTCCTCGGCCTGATTATGACGCCGTGAAGGCACATCAGAACGATCTTTCGTAGCAGTCACCTGCATTTTAATGAATGACACTGGATTCTCTAGAGATTATCAACCTGCTTATAAGTTGTCCTGTAGGGATGATGAGCACAAAAACGTCGGTGATTTCTCTTTCGCGCGGGATGCTTATGCAAATCAAGTCACAACTTCGGTCCTGTTTCTCAGGGAGGAGAGGTCCTGGGAACGAAGCAAAGCGGAGTTCAAAATGGCCATTTGATTGCTAAACCTGATATGAACTGTCTCACACGACTCTTTAAGTAAGTAACATATTTAGAAGTGGGAACCCAAAAGCAGTTTTTAGAAAATTCACTTGGGGCATTAGACTCAAAAATAATCGAGCAAGCAGCCGTCATCTTCGTGAATCACATCATGTAAAATAGAGTAAATACTCAAGGCCTAGGTGGAGGAAACACTTTAAAAACTCACTGCCTCGCATGTATGTATTATAATAAAGCAATTATTGATTGATAACCCTGCAGCGAAGGATGATGCATGTGTTCAGTCCCTTGGAAGCGTCTCCTGTTGCTCCCTAAAAGTTTCCTGGCACTCGCTTCCGTGTTCAATTTCTAAATTTAAAAATCTCTAGTTAATCAATAAGCATTTCATTTCAATGTTATTTTCAGTACTGTACCGATCAGTGTGATGTTGATGCAGACAGTCACGGCCAATGATGCTCATCTCCCATAAGCGTTTTCTCCGATTTCCGGGTACGGGGACCGTACGTGTCCGTTGTACTCGCTATGCCTCTTAAGAAGATTCGCCCACGATCTTCCAAGAACCGTTCCACATGATAGACATGACAGCGTAACTTGTTTTCGTCACGCAATCTTCATAAATTACATGTATTTGACAAGTGCCTGATAAGTGCTTGAAATTAACACAATCTTTTCTGTTGACAGGAGAATGACTTTGACACAAGAGATTGGACTGAGAGATGTTTTGATACCATTGGAATGCGTAATCCATTTGAACTCAGAGCTGAAGATCTCTCAGAGCAGCCAAACTACTTCACTTGTGCCTTCAGAAAAGACAAACTTGACAAGTACGTTTTCTTTGTTAACCATCAGGATTATGGTTAACAAATGGTTATGGTTAACCGTGATGATTTCTTCAAAAGTGCTCAGCGAAGCAGAATTGTAAGTGATTCCTGTAACACAGGATGCTTACTTTGAACTCAACTTTATCATTACAACATTACAAGTCTGATAGTTTTACAGTCATGTATGTCTTGTAGTACCTGCTATGGTAGGTCTTCTACTGACAATGACCAAATGTTATATTCATCCTTTGCCTGATTTATAAAATAGTATACTCAGGTAACACATCGATATATATCTCAGGCAGAGATGGCAAAACAAATAGAAGTACAGTAAATATTGATGTTCAATTGCAAGCACGTTCACAGAATTTTGACAAGAACATAGTATGGTGAGAAGAGGAATCAGATTGGTAAAAATGAACCAATCTTAATCAAAACTATACTTTATGTTAATGACTAACATTAAAAATTTGGGGCCCTTTACATTAGGAAGAGAAATATATTTTTGTCAGTCATTGAACAATAAGAATATTGCCACCTACAGGGAATTTAAAGGTACATGTCAGTTTTCTCTGATAACAGCAAGACTCTTTGAAGTATTCTCTTTTGTATTACTTTTAATAATTGATGTCAGCTTATTAAACTGATTTTGCAGTATATCATGTATCACATTGTGTATGGTGTGATCAGAAATTTATACCTAACATAATGTAGGTGCATATCCTTGTCATTTATGCATCTTTGTAATAGGATATTAGGCATTGGATGCTTAATTGGCAATGGATCTTACGCTGCAGCTTATCCCTTACACAAGGTAAAAAATTAATTGCAAGTTTTGTTTTGTTTTGTTTTTTTGTCTTCAGTATAACAACTCCTTACTGTGAAACTTAAAAAGTGTCCAAGAAATTTACTATGGCATAATTTGATGGATCACTGAAATTTACAATGATTTCTCTAGGTTTAAAAAATGAGCAGTTCCTGAATGATAGTCCTTTAGAAGAGAATATCATAGGCTTTGAAACTTCTCAGAATTTAGAGTGACTGAAAACAGAGACTTGAAGGGCAGTGGTGAACAAATTTAAGGGCCCTCATATTTGCACATGATTATTAAGTTGAAGGCCCAAGAAGGCTGACATACAGTTATATCATACAAAACTTAAAATTAAAAACTTTGTCTCCTGTCAGGAATTAAAGGGACATGAAAAAGCCAAACAAAGCTATATAGGTCATGGTTCATTTTTTTTAAGTGTACTCCATATGGTTGAATGATCCCATGCAAGGGACTGGCCAGAGGAAAAGGCAACATACTGCATCAGTTTTCTCAGTGTGATTTGGAGTCTAATAATGATATTTTCCTTGAATCAACAATTATGTCAGGTTGCTTGAACAGGATTCAGCCAAATGTTGGCAAAGTTAGCCAACTGTGTTTTCTTGTCATTCATTTCAGAAAGTACAGTAAGGCATTCTCGTGAGATCAAAATTTTAGAATGAAAATTTAATAGAAAGAAGGAATAACATCAAACAACTACATGTCCATATGTTTAGTCAAGTGAGAGTTGGACAATGGATGTCTTGATCCAGGAAACATTAAGCTTGTTGTACATGGGGAGCTATTCAGACTGATACATGTACATTGTACATGTATATAATAGTAATAGGACTAAGAGGAGTCCAATTCAGGCTGTAATTATCCATTAAGTGATTAACAAAATCGGATGATTGCACTGTGAAGGCATCCGTTGTACCTTTTCATCTAAAAAAAAACAACAGTTAAAGGGGCAAAATGTGAGACAACAGCATGCACATGTGACACCTTCTTTCCACTTACACAGGCATGGTGTGTTAATTGCCCTATTTAACACTGTCCAATTACAAGCATGATGTGTCCTATTAGTGCTCAAACTGAGCTGGAGAACTCAAGAATTTTGTTATAGTTTTGATCAATGAAACCAGGGATTTAGAATAGCAACAAAGCATAATTGTACTTCAGGCCAATTTTCAGGGTATGCTTTTTGCTCATGACCATCAAAATAATTCAATCAGACTTGAACACAACATGTACGAAAAATCATGTTGTCTTAATCATATCTAGGACAACTGTGTGGTTGTCAGTTGCTCATAACACACACAAAAGTAATTTTTTAGCATTTTGAAACATATTCTTTTACCTTTAGGTGTTGATGTTACAAATTAAAGAGTTGCATTTGATTTTTTTTACTGGAGAGAGGTAAAAGAGATGGATTTGGAATATGATGAGCACACTGTAATTTATAATTACTTTATCAGGGAATTTGACATGTAGAGATCTATACATTGCAAAAATTACCACAATAATGCATGGAATAACTTGATACAGTACCATCATTTTTGTATTTTACATAGGTTGATGTAGGGCACTTATGAAAAAGATCAATCCAATGATCCTCCAAGACCTGAAAATGCCAGACAGGTAATTTTTTTATTATTATTTTTAAATTAATAGACCTCGTAAGGTTAATTAGTTTTGTGTATGTTGTTTCCTGTTAAGTTTACAGTGTACATTATGTATGTACAACTCGGAACAAATAAACTCCTAAACAAATCTATGGTATGCAGTCATTTCGTACCCATAGTTGTTTTGTACTCATTCATTTTATACTCAAGCTGGGTACAAAATGACTCAACTAACTGGGTATGACATGACTGTGGGTGTGAAACGATCGGTAACCCAATCTATGCCATCCTATTACCATCTCTTCAACTTACACTTCATCAGCTTTGTAAACTTCTTTCAAAGCTGATTTGTCATTCAAGCTGCAGTACATGTAACCTTTTTTTTCAAAGATGTAAACATCAATTCTCCATCCAGTCTACCATACAGCTTTTACAGTTTATATAATCAAACAGTACTTTGTCCCCTGAAGTTTTTTCTTTCTTCTTATCACATTCCTGCTTTTAGATGTTTTAAGGTAAATTCCTATTTTGTAGGAACTTGTAAGAGGAAAATTAGAGTCGAACAAGTCAAATCACCAAAGAAAACTTTGTTTGTTTGTTTGTTTTTTCATTGAATTTTCTCCTTCCCAAATATTTTTACTTCTACCTCTACTCTTGATATTCTTCTCAAGCTTGTGTTCAGATATATCAGACTTGAAACTTTTGATAGCTTTTATCAATATTTTCTTTTAAGTGCAGTTATAAATTTTTCTATTGCATTGTTTTTTCCAGTTTTACAGTTGCTAATCAATGATAGTTTTATTTGTGGGTTGTTGCTATTTCAGTTGTTGTTTGACACCTGGGTTAAAGCACATCGCTGGTACAAAATGCAACCATTGGATCATATCAGGTAAAATCACTTACACAAGACTGTTTAACTCAAGGTGTGTGTGTCATTTTTTGTTGTTAATAATTGTTTTGGTGGATTATTCATTAATTTTGTTGCAGAGATTACTTTGGAGAGAAAATTGGAATCTACTTTGCTTGGTTAGGTAAATATAATTAATGACTTCAAATTTCATGTGCACTCTGATTGAAGTAAGTTATTGTTTCAGCTGTTTAATCATGGCTGCATATAATTTTTATTTTTGGAAGAACACATATTAAAGGCTATGACTGTATTCTAGCCAGCCAGTGAGACTCAAGGACATTGCACAATGCATGAAGTTTGGATGTCAATGAGGAAAACAGTGTCATCAAACAAATGTTACTCTCTTGACTGTTTGACAGGTTTCTACACATGGATGTTGCTCCCAGCAGCCATCATGGGCCTTGTTTGTGTGATTTATGGACTTGTCAGACTGGAGTCTTACATTCCTGTGTAAGTGATGAGTTTGGCAAGGCCTATATGTGCATTCTATCATATGCAAAGGCCTTATATTCATATCAGCCGTGAAATGGGCTCATTGAGGACTGGGAATCTTAAAGTATTATATAAAGTTGTCGTGAAATGGAACAAAAGAAAAATATACTTGGTGATACATTCACATGTGCTATTTTACATAACTTTCACTATAATGTGCATCCAGTGTTAACTATTACTGCCAGTGGTAAGCGTTAACAGTGTTGCAATCACTGGTTTTATACTGAAAAAATGCAAGTCAGAGAACGACCCTTTTTTTATTTTTGTGTAAACATGGCTTTCAGACACGTAAAACCAACTGTATGTATGTATCTTTTGCTTTAGGAAAGACATCTGTGATACGTCTAAGAACTTAATCCCATGTGCCCTCGCTGTGACAAACGCTGTCCCTACTGGCCTTTATCGGACACATGTATCTATTCAAAGGTGACTTAAAGAACATTTTCACCTCTTACCTCAAGTTCCTTCTTTTCTTCTTCCTCGACTTCTTTGCTAAAGTTCTTTAAAGGTCGCTATTTGGCAACTTAACCAAATTTGTCATTCTCTTCACAGTCAACCATACAATTTTTATATTGTTTGTTCAGAGAATTTAGTATTGGAACAACTAGTTACCACCAAATTGATATTTTTCTTTAGTATTATCACTTATCTGGTGGATATTATATTGATATTGTAAGGAAAAATCCTGTCTTGGTCACTCATGGGAATTAAACGGTTAAAGTCACGAAATGTTTGCCAGAAATGGAGAAAGAAAAGAAGAAAGCAGAGAAAGAAATTGTGTGCAACATTGAATTTAAGCACCTAAGTTTCTTCCTGCTGACCATGATGACCAAATGACCGCAGTGTGAGGCCCTGTGTTCCATTAATAATTGATGTAGCCCCTTGTTAAAGGGGCTACACGTAGCATAAACCATGAATTTAGAGACAATTCATAATAAATGGTTAAGAATATATGAAAGTCATATATTTGAACTGCGGATAAAGACATTAATGAAAGTGATCCTCGCAGTAATGTGCACTACTTAGGCAGTAGTGAAAATAAGGCCTGAAAAAAATTCAGGCCTGTACGGGATTTGAACCCATGACCTCTGCGATACCGGTGCAGCGCTCTACCAATTGAGCTAACAAGCCAACTGGGAGCTGGTCATGAAGTTGGTTCTAAATAAACTCGTGAAGTGATGAATAAATGGCTAAGAATATATGAAAGTCATATATTTGAACTGCGGATAAAGACGTTAATGAAAGTAGTGCACATTACTGCGAGGA